CATATATAGGCCGCGCTTGTCTAAAAGCTGCGGGTATGCAAGTTGTAACATGAGATATTTACATATTTACAGAGAAAGATTATTTTAAACTTTTAATTAAATACATACTGGTATATATAATAATAATCTACTATATGAGTATATTATATGGTAATATATGCAAAAATGTACAGTAAAAATATTTCTGAACAGTGCCTGTAACACAGCTGGTAAAACAAACAAACAAACAAACAAAACAACAACAACAAAAACAAATAAAAAAGAATCTCAGTAGCCTACCAGGAAGTCACTGATCACTATCATTACACTATTAAATGCACAATTCACCGTTCGAGTTGTGGCAAATACTTTTTGTGCAGAACAGGGAGCTGAGGAGAAAATGGGGAGAGGAGGAACCCCTCCTTGTTTAATTGGTCTGTTGTGACCTGTCGGCAATTTCATTAGTCATATGTATATGTATATGTGTATATATATATATATATATATATATATATACATATGTATTTTTTTTTTTTAGAAAACCTTTATGCATACAGGTAGTTTCATTGAGTCACAAAGACCCACCCCCCAAGAGAGACGTATGTTGGACAGCTATGTGAGCGCCGGGGTGTGACGAAATGTTATGGCAGCATAAAGTTGTTGGCCTGTCAAAAAAATCCATAAATTAGCCGCATCATTGTGTGAAAAAAGTAGCAGCTTATAGCTCAGAAATTACGGTATAAACTGTCCAATGAGCTGTTGAGGATTATGTCTTTATCTTGAGGTTAACAAACACCAAACAATGTACAAAAGCAGCTATAACTACAGCTTTTGATCACTTCCCTTATTTCTAATTTACAATTGAACAACTATTTTAGCGTGATAATTGATTCATAGATAACAAATTGAATTGAAACATATTTTATATAACGTAGTCAAACTAAGAAGTCTCACCTGAATCTGCAGAGAATAACCATGGCAGTGGTCAGAGACACCAGTGATGTGCTGTACCCGACCGTATACAGGGCTTTGACAGATGCATAGTACAAGTCCTAAACATGGAGACACAGAATAAGTAAGTGGAATAAAAACCAACATGATGTGTGCATTTGAATGAGGTAAACATGGCCGTACAGGTTTCGTAACGTTGTCATAGAGGAAGCAGATGTCCACATAGTGAGGATAAGGCTCAGACCAGCCGTACTCCGTGCAGTTTCGACTGAGCTTCCCTATTTCTGAAAGGGAAAAACAAGCCTCAGTGTACATAAAAAAAACATGATGTTCAAATATTTTATATTGTGCGTTACTCAGGTTGTTGCCGCTCACCTTCTTCAGGGGTCACGAAGTCATGAAAGAGCTCTGGACAGCTGACCACAACAACTTCACCAACACTGGCCGCCTGCCAGCAGGTCAAGTTGTCCCACATCCATGGACACACTAAAATAAAACAGTCAGAAAATGTTGATTTTGAAGACAATGCACTGAAATAATGAGATTTAGTTATTATGCAGTCTCTAAGGGAACTATGACTGGAAACTGCTGTTTATCAGATCTCCATCGGTAATAATTTCCATGATGGTGGCTGCTGCCTTTTAAAATGCAGAAGATGATCTAACTCATGCAAACCAGCTATAACAAAGATTATATAATGACAAAATTAAATATAAAGAGACAAAGAATGTGTGATGCAACAAAACAACTTGACGGAGCGCTACCTGCTCTCTTCTGTGGTGAAGACTATAAAAATCTTTGAAGGTATAAATTGCTTTTTATTTGTTTTGGAATGACCTAGACTGGTTTACTGCAGATATATATGTAATGTACTTTTATACTAATAAGAATAGTAACTTAAAAGCATAGACTCTCAAACTATTTTGGGTTCAGGGACCCCTTACAGGAGAGAACCAGTTTCAGAGACCATCTCATAACCCTCATATTTATTAAATAATGTTCTTCAAATTATCTTTTTAATGCAATGGAAATAGTTGTGTGACATAAATAATTAAAACCTGTTCTTTAATTGTGGTAATACAATTTTTATACTTTTAAACATGGGGTATTTTTCATTCAAGACACACTTAATTAACAACATTTTTGATTTCAGCTTCCAAAAATTACAGTTTTGAGAAAACTAACAGCTTTAAAAAAACACTTTAAAACTTCACCTATTAAAACAATGAACATAATAAATGTATTGCCACTTTTTCAAAATAATTACTGAAAACTTTTTATATAACAGGTTTCACTTGTAGCTGAGTCTTTGAGTCTTAATGTGATTTTTCTGTATAGATAAAGGTTGAATGAATAAAACTGAACAGATTCATAAAAGCAGTAGTCATACCACGTAGAGCTTAATTTGTAAACTGATCGATACTGGAACGCTAACAGCAGACGGGCCGGAGTAGGAGGTCTGAGGGTCCTTCCCCAGAATTTATTTTATTTATTTATTTTTTCAGAATTATTATTATTTATTTTTATAAAGTAGATGTGATTTCCTGCCTTTTGGTATATTTTAACAGGTTGTTAAACATCAGAATCAGTCAGAGATTCTTTGGTGGAACGAAATAATGTACCCAGGGTCCCAGTTACATCCAACAATAGAATGTCAAAGAAAACAGTAATAACATCTAAGATAATATCTACTTGCTTGTGGAAAAATAAGTATATGATAATTAAAAAAAATAATGAAATAATATATATATATATATATATGTATATATATATATGTATATATATATATATATATATATATATATATATATATATATATATAT